TCCTTAAATAAATATCTCAGTGGAGGCTGGAGCAGCTGGGAAGGGACATGCAGGTACATTCAGGAGAGGAAAAGGGGAACATGTCTCAGGACTGCAGTGGGCCAAACAGGGGGAGGCCGGTGTGGCAATTACAGGGACCTCACTTACAGGAGCTGCCTGGGTGTGTGGCAAGGCCAGGAGGACAGAGCGGGGAGCACCAAGACCGTGCTGCCTGCGCAATCCCATGGCTATCTGGCTGGTCAGTTCCAGCACAGCCACAGGCTACGGGAAAGAACGGAGTTTTAAAAATGCATCCACAAGGCAAATGTGAACAGCAAACTCTGTGTAATCCTAAGTGAAAGACTAACTCATGATTTCAATAAACGAAGAATGAAACAAATGGAGATTTTAATGATGAAATCAGTTTAATAATGAACTGGAGAGAATGCAGGACTGGAACTCATGTGACCTGGGTGCTAGTCCCTGTTCATCCATGGAGCTCACGGAGTGACTATCTGGCAGGATAAGATTGAGAGGAGGGGAAGAATTATGTAATGAGTTCCTTGAAAGGAAAAATGTGGGATATAAATGCAATGCATATGAAATGAAATGAAATGAAATGAAATGAAATGACTACAATCATGAAACACACCTGTTTCACACATCTACTCTCCAATTTTTGACAAAAGAAATGTCCCAGCCCTGGAGAGAAAGTGCTGACTGTCGGCAGGTTTGTGGGTCACGCTACACCAACCTGTGAATAAGCCAAGTAGGCTAGTTGTCATGAATTCCTCCTTCCACCCGCCCCTTGAGATCAGCAGGAGAGGCCCTTCTCCGGGAACCCTCCATGAAGGATATTAGGAGGGTAAGTACTCGGAGGAGGGCTTTCTCTGTGGTGGCGCCCAATCTATGGAATGCGCTCCCCAGAGAGGTCCGCCTGGCGCCATCATTATTTGTTTTTTGGTGCCAGGCGAAGACCTTTTTATTCAAACGTTATTTTAATTGTTAAATTAATTGTTAATATTATTTATTTATTTATTTTATTCTTGGCCAGGTCGATTGTTTTTATATTGTGTTTATTTATTTATTATTGTGAGCCACCCTGAGGCTTCGGCGAATGGGGCGGCATGGAAGCCTCCTAAATAAATAAATAAATAAATACTCTACTGGTTTACTCTTTGCCTTTATGGAATTTCTTACTTCAGACTGTAAAAGCAAACACTGAAATCTGTTAAATTCGGTGACTCTTGTTGGTTTTAATTTTAATCTGCCACTTGAGCTCCTGATGCATCATAATGTTTTCCTGATGACTTCTCGATGTTTCTGTATTGTTCTTGTGTGCTTCTATATTGTTCTTGTATATAATACATTCAAAGTCTTATTCCCCTTCCTGCAATGTATACATGACACCAACACCATAAAACACTCTGTATATGCTCTGTTTCTTTGTAGTTGATGTTGCATTTAGGAATACCTGTTCGCTGTTAATTAACTGTTGAATGCTGGACTGTCACCTCCCTTTGGATCCAGACATTCATTTTTTGCAGGTCTGAAATCCTGAACCTTGCAAATATTCTACTGGGCTTCACACATAGATGTGGCCACCAGGGCAGGGATCCTGCTCAGAAGACTGAGTTCAAGGCAGAGCTGGACTGAGTCTAAGTCACAACACAGGAAACAATTCCATTTTTGGTTTGGTTTTGCTTCCTTTTCTTGGTGTGTTGCAGAGGAAAGTCTCAGCCTACAGTGACCTACCACCTTGATTTCCTAAATAAATTTCCGAACCCCATGCATGACAGAGAGGCATTCACAGAAACTAAGATGGCCCCAGCTGGGCCCTCCACTTTGCTTGGAAGCAACCCCGATCACTGATAAAAGGGGGTTAATTAGAAACAAGTAAGGGGGGCAAGGCGCCCTCACCTCATATCAAGGTGCCTGCCTTGACTGTACAGCATGTTAAGCTTTGCTATCCACCACCTTTAGGACTCAGATGGGCCGGCATGTGAGCACTTCATTTCCATGTGTTTCCACTGCACAAAGCAAAGCAGTTAAACATGACTTTGCAACAGGAATGATTTCCATCACTAACTGCAGTCAAGTTTCAGTACTCAACAAATGTAAAAACAGCCCGCAGGAAGGCCGAATCGGTAATGTTTATGCTGGGATTTCAATTTCCTATTTGTTGATTAAACAAAAAAAATCAATTGATTCAGTAGAGTTGGTTCATACATTCAACTGTCAGCCACCAGGTAGCAATTAAATCAAGTGTGCGAAAACCATTACGGGCTGTCCATCTGTTAGTTTTCACTTGCAGCCTTCCGTGTTATGAAAGTGAACTCTGAAGCAGCCAGGTTAAATGTATAACTCCTAAAAAACTGCTGCCGTTGCTGCAGTTCTAGTTTATTCTTTCTCCATAACACCAAGATTTTGGTGCAGTATTCATGTGATCAGACTTTTATGGCTCATTAATCCAGATGGAGAAATATTGTGTTTTGATTGGAAAGAGCTTGTCATCTTTTTC